TACCTCGGAAGAGCTCTCTCGATGGGTTGACAAGCGCAACTATGCCCGTATTGAAGGTTTCAGGCAGGCCCAGGCACAACGTGAGCAAGAAGAGTTGATGCGGCTTCAATCACAGGGAGCTTCAGCTTCTGTAGTACAAGCTTCGGTTTCTGGTCAAGGAAGCTTCTCGTTTATCTGCGAATGTTTCTTTTTGACAGCCAGAAGTCTGAATATAGGACCACTCAAAGCTGTTTCAGATTTCAAGACTCTACTACAGGTAAATCACTTCTAGAGTTGGTCTTTCTGACTGACAAGATCGATATGCGTCAGGATCTTTCGAGACAAAAGGATTCCTTGGAGGCGCTGAAGGCCATGCAGGGCCCCGGGGCACCGGCGGATCTAGAAAATACTATCAAGAACACAGAAAACAACATAGAGCAGCTTACACAAGACCGATACTGTTATGAGGCGCAATTTTTACGGGTAAACTTCAGTACTGCCTCTCCCCTTGACTGACACTTTCTCTTTTTCATCTTGTAGGACTTGCAACTCTTGCAAGAATGTGTCCGGTTTTATCGCCTGATGATTGTTTGGCTTGTAAGTCTTGTTGGTGGTTTTAGAGTTCCTCTCCCTGCACCCTGCCCGATGGAGTTTGCATCCATGCCGGAACATTTTGTAGAGGACTCTTTGGAAATGCTGCTTTTTACCGCACGGGTGCCGAAGGGTTTAGAAGGCGTTTCTCTGGTACGTGTTCTATTTGGTAAAGGAAGAATGTTTCTCATGTGTCTCGTGCAGGACGAGTTCATGAGCTTTATTGTCATGTTTATGAGCAGTCCTCTCTACGTGAAGAACCCTTACCTGCGGGCAAAAATGGTGGAAGTTCTAAACGCATGGATGCCTTCAAAGAAGTGAGTAAGATTATGCTATAGCAATGATTTCTTTCTCTTTTTTCTTGCAGCCATTATGCACCAGCACTGTCTTCATCTCTGACGACATTATTTGAAGGGCATCAGCTGGCCATGGATCATCTTGTTCCAGACTTGCTGAAACTTTATGTGGACATCGAATTCACTGGTTCTCATACCCAGGTCTGTTTGCGTGTAGGTCTTTCAGCACGAGCCTGACCATCATATTTTCTCACCGTAGTTTTATGATAAATTTAATATTCGGCATAATATCGCAGAGCTCCTCGAGTATTTGTGGCTCGTTCCCTGCCATCATAATGCGTGGAAAAGGGTAACACAAACTTTTCAATGCTTGCAGCAACGTTTTGACTCTTCCTGTCTCCTCAGATTGCTGTAACAGAAGAAAGAGGTTTTTACTTGAGGTACTTGAATCTGCTGATCAACGACAGTATCTTCCTTCTGGATGAGAGCCTAAAGAAGATCCCCGAGTTGAAGGAGATGGAAGCGGAAAGGTCAAACGTTCCAGAGTGGGAACGTAGGCCGCCACAAGAAAGGCAGGAAAGACTCCGACTGTTCCACCAGATTGAACAAGTATATCAGTTTTATTTTTGTGCCATTCCTGTACTTACATTTAATTTTTTTCTCTGCAGCATGTTCGCTCAGACATGATTCTGGCAAATGAGAACGTCAAGATGTTGCAATACACGTCTTCAGAGATCACGACTCCGTTTCTTCTTCCGGAAATGGTGGAAAGAATTGCATCCATGCTCAATTACTTCTTGCTGCAACTAGTGATCACGCAAAGGAAAGCTCTGAGGATCAGGGACCCAGAAAAGTACGAATTTAGACCCAAGGAACTGCTTTGCCAGGTAACCTCTTTTCCTGTTCACTGTTGTAGAAAGGCTTGACTTATACCCTGCAGATTGTGGAGATCTATGCAAATCTTGCCAGAGGTGACATCCATGGAGAATTTTCAAAGGCAATATCTCTCGATGGTCGTTCGTATCGTGATGAGGTACATGTAAAATTTCTGAGTTCGTTCTCTCACGTGTCTGGTCGTAATGCAACAGCTGTTCAAGGAGGCAATTGACGCGATCCATATGATCAATCAGCTTCCACCGAAAACGATGCAAGACTTTGTGTTGCTTGGTGAAAAAGTGAAGAAAGCTGTGTCTGAGGCTCAGGACACTGAGGCTCTCCTCGGTGACGTTCCTGAGGAGTTTTTGGATCCTATTCAAGTAAGCTTTCTTTTCTTTTGTTTTGCTTTTGCTGATTGTGTTCTTTCCCAGTACACTTTGATGAAGGATCCCGTGATTCTTCCGTCGTCGAAAACCACGATTGATCGAGCGACGATACAGAGACATCTCCTGAGCGACCAAGTAAACAAGAAAAAACTTTTCATTATTTTGCTATAACTGTGACACCTTTTTTCTTTCCTCCAGACGGATCCTTTCAATCGCTCGCTCTTGACGGCCGATATGCTAGTTCCTAACGTGGAACTCAAAGCTAGAATTGAGGAGTTCCTCCGAAATGCTAGGAAGAATTAAAGTCTCTTAAATTAAGCGAAGGAAGAAAGAAATTTTTTGTATATTAATCTGTGTATATATCAAGCTTGAACATCACATTTAATCTAATCTCAGGCGTTGGATCTGGGCAAAGCTAAACTTTGAATATATTTGCATGTAATTTAGGTTGTTGCGTTTCAAACCATGGATCGGGGAGGGGATCCCCTTCGCCGAGCGCGCAATGGCGGTGGCATTTGGCGGAGCCGCTGGCTGGTTCTTGTGGCGTCGATGTGGCTCCAGGCGTGCGGCGGAGTGGGATACATCTATGGGAGCTACTCGCCCGTGATCAAGGCCAGGCTCTTGTACAACCAGAGGCAGATGAACACGCTCGCAGTCGCCAAGAACATTGGCGGCAGCGTCGGGATCTTTGCTGGATCTCTGTCGACGGTGCTCCCTCCCTGGGGGCTCATCTTGCTCGGGGGATTCCAAAATCTCGTCGGCTATGGTGGAATCTGGCTGCTCGTCACGAGCTTAGCTCTTCCTTCGCCCCTTTGGCTGGTGAGTTCTTCTCTTTGGTTTTTCTTCCTCTTCCTGGTCTTTGCCTCTAGCGTACAGAGTTGTTTTGCGTGATTTGTTTGTCATTGCCAGAGTTTTGGATCTGGCAAGTTTCGTCAGAGGTAAGCAATGTAGAGCTTTCACATGTTCGAGAGAGAGACCGGTTGGTAGAAAACTTCCTGTCAATCGCGAAAGATGGCATGATCTCAGCTTTTATTATTGTCCTGGAATGATCTCCTTTTTGATACGCATTGACATTCCTTTTGTTCTTCCAGATGTGCGTGCTCATTATGATCGGTACTAACGAAGAATCATACTACAACACCGTCTCTCTCGTCTCGGCGGTACGTAACTTCCCCAGGAACAGGGGCCCGGTGGTGGGAATTCTCAAAGGATTTAGCGGGCTGTGTGGAGCAATCTTCACGCTGGCCTATGGAGCGCTGCTGGCTCCACACCAGGAGGCATTCATCCTTCTCGTGGCCGTGACACCGATTATTGTGGGTGTGATTGTCATGCCGATCATCCGGCCTTTGGAGAGCTCCGGGATCACGCAAGACACCAAGGACGAATCGGAGAACATGGGATTTATCTACAACCTGTGCCTGGTGATCGCTGCTTATCTCCTAGTGGTGCTGCTGATCATCGACTTGCTGGACGTGAGCAAGCTCGTGACTGGGATTTTTTATCTGGGATTGCTGCTGCTTTTGGTTTTCCCGCTGGTTATACCACTCAAGCTCGAGTTCTTCAAAGGTGGCGCTGATGCAAAGCTTGTGGAGCCGCTGATTCCAGAGGCAGCAGGATCAAGCGATAGCAACAAGTCGGCGGGCTACGAGTCCTCCTTCAGTGAGCTAGAGGACGAGAAGCGAGCATCGAGAAGCCTTCCGGAGCCGCTTTTCAAACTGAAGCTGGCGAGAATGCGCTCGGATCTTTACAAAGCTGTTGCCGAGGGAGCTGTGAAGGTGAAGAGAAGACAAGGGCCTCGTCGCGGAGAGGATTTCACGCTAAGGCAAGCTCTCATGAAAGCTGACTTTCTTCTTATGGTTGGAATACTCTTCTGTGGTTGTGGCTCCGGCTTGACAGCCATAGACAACCTTGGACAAATGGGACAGGCACAAGGCTATGAGAACGCTCATATGTTTGTCTCGATGATAAGTATATGGAACTTTCTGGGAAGAGTTGCTGGAGGCTTCGTTTCGGAGTGGATTGTCAGGTACTTTCTATTTGCTCTAGTTGCCTATTATTGCTCTAGATATCGAACTCTTTGCTTACTTTCTTCTTCTTTGTTCTCCCTCAGAGCTCACGCGTATCCAAGACCATGCGTGCTAGCTGTGGCTCAGCTGGTAATGGCTGTGGGTCTTTTATTCTATGCCATGGCCTGGCCATTCTCACTTTACATCGGATCCTTGCTGGTGGGACTGAGTTACGGCGTGCACTGGGCAGCTGTGCCGTCGGCAGTGTCTGAGCTCTTCGGTCTCAAAAACTTTGGCAGCTTCTACAACTTTCTCACCATCGCAAGTCCACTGGCAACCATCCTCTTTTCGGGAGTCCTTGCCGGGACCATTTACGATCGCGAAGCCGCCAAACAACTCAATGCAGGTGAGAGTGGCGCCAATGGTTTGCTGTGCAAGGGAGCCGTGTGTTTCAGGCTCACGTTTCTTATCCTCATGGGAGTCTGTATCTTCGGTTCCGGGCTTTGTATGCTCTTGGTGAAGAGGACAGTGCCGGTTTACGCTGCATTATATGGGAAACAGCAGGAACAGGGTGAAAACATGAAATCGATTCCCGAGGAACCTTAAGTTTGGACAGTATCGGTTACGTTCATACCAATCTGGCTAGAAGATGGATATGGTGCTCGGTTACGCTGGACTAACTGGAAAGCAGCAAGAACCTTCAAGTTACACATCCAAGAGCTAAAGAACTTCAGGCCAAACGCGTCATACAATCCGATGAACTATGATTCCAAAAACATCAAAACTCTCAAAAATGATATCGAAACAAGATAGTGTTCTTGGTAGAAGAAAGTTCCTCTCGCGGTGGTGTTTCGCTTCCACCCGGCATTAGTACATGGCCCCTCCACTCCATGAAGAGACACATCTTTGTTTTCTTGTGCAAGCTGGTTTACTCGGTAAAACGCAATGGTGGAAATCTTGCATGGCATTTACTTCGGGTTATTTCAATCAAGATTGGCGCTCCTCTTCTTCATCTCCTTCTCGCGCAGCGCGATCTCTACAGTTCGAGGCTATGGAGCATCTCCCGGGACGTGGGATTTGGCGCAACCGGTGGCTGGTTCTAGTGGCATCAATGTGGCTCCAAACTTGCGGCGGCGTGGGATACATCTATGGGAGCTACTCTCCGGTGATCAAGGCCAGGCTCTTGTACAACCAGAAGCAGATGAACACGCTCGCGGTCGCCAAAGACATCGGTGCGTTTGTGGGGATCTTTGCCGGATCCCTGTCGGCCGTGCTCCCTCCCTGGGGGCTCGTCTTGCTCGGTGGAGTACAAAATTTAGTCGGCTATGGTGGGATTTGGATGCTCGTCACTAATCTGGCTCTTCCTTCGCCCATTTGGCTGGTAAGTTTCTCGATTATCTCTTCTTCTTTTTATCTTTTTTTCATTTTTTTCCTCTGGTATTCGGTGTTTTTGCTTGCCATTGTCAAGTTCTCGTGTCTAGCATTTGATTGTTTTTATTTTCTAGAAGAATACTTGTTTGGCTTCCTAATCTCACAAGGTGGCGCGAGTTTTCTTGTTCCAGTGTTGTTCGTTGATTCGCGCTAAACTTGTGAGCTGTCCTGTTCCATTGTCCTGGAATTTGTTCATTGACGATTTGCGCTAAACTTGCAGATGTGCGTGCTCATTATGGTCGGTACTAACGAAGAATCATACTTCAACACCGTCTCTCTCGTCTCCGCGGTACGTAACTTCCCCAGGAACAGAGGCCCCGTGGTGGGAATTCTCAAAGGATTCAACGGGCTGTGTGGAGCAATCTTCACGCTGGCCTATGGAGCGCTGCTGGCTCCACACCAGGAGGCATTCATCCTTCTCGTGGCCGTGGCACCGATTATTGTGGGTGTGATTGTCATGCCGGTCATCCGGCCTTTGCAAAACTCCGGGATCCCGCAAGACACCAAGGAAGAATCGGAACACATGAGATTTATCTACAACTTGTGCCTCGTGATCGCGGCGTATCTCCTCGTGGTACTGCTCATCAAGGATATCTTGGACGTGAGCAAGCTTGTGACCGCCATCTTTTACCTGGGAATGCTGCTGCTTTTTGCGCTCCCGCTGGTTATACCACTCAAGCTCGAGTTTTTCAGAGGTGGTGTGGGTTTCGAAGGCAATGGAAAGATGGTAGAGCCGCTGATGCAACAGGCAGCCGGATCAAACCAGAGCTTAGACGATGGCAGCAAGCTGGCGGGCTATGACTCCTACTTCAGCGAGCTAGAGGACGAGAAGCGAGCCTCGAAAAGCCTTCCGGAGCCTCTCTTCAAGAAGGAGATGTCGAAAATGCGATTGGAGCTCTACAAAGCCGTTGCCGAGGGAGCAGTGAAAGTTAAACGGAGGAGGAAAGGACCTCGTCGCGGAGAGGACTTCACGCTGATTCAAGCTCTGAGGAAAGCGGACTTTCTTCTCATGTTTGGAATTCTCTTCTGTGGATGCGGCTCAGGCTTGACAGCCATAGACAACCTCGGGCAAATGGGACAAGCACAGGGCTACTCCAACGCTCATATGTTTGTCTCGATGATCAGCATATGGAACTTCCTGGGACGAGTTTCCGGAGGCTTTGTTTCGGAGTGGATTGTCAGGTACTATTACTACTTTGTTTCTCTCTGTTTGTTCTTTCCTGGAGATGATCTTGCAAGTTTGCTTGTTTACATACGTACTCTGTTTCTTTATGTTTGTTCTTTCCTGGACCTGACGTAAACTTACAAGTTTGCTTGTTGCTTTTTCAATTTAGAGAATATGCTTATCCAAGGCCATGCGTGCTGGCTGTGGCTCAGCTCCTAATGGCATTCGGCCATCTCTTCTACGCGACGGCCTGGCCGTTGTCACTTTACGTTGGTTCTTTGCTGGTGGGACTGAGCTACGGTATGCACTGGGCTGCCTTCCCGTCGGCGGTGTCGGAGCTCTTCGGCCTCAAGAACTTTGGCAGCTTCTACAACTTTCTCACCGTCTCGATTCCGCTAGGGACGATTCTCTTCTCTGGAGTCCTCGCCGGCAGCGTCTACGACAACGAGGCCGCCAAACAGCTCCACGGGAGGCCGGAGGATTTCAAGGATGGCCTGCTGTGCGAAGGAGCGGTGTGCTTCAGGCTCACCTTTCTCATCCTCATGGGAGTTTGCATCTTTGGCTTCGGGCTTTGCATGCTCCTGGTGAAGAGAACGGTGCCGGTTTACGCTGGACTGTATGGGAAACAGCAGGAACAAGAACAGGGGTCTCAGGCGAGTAGAGCTGAGAATAGTGGAAACATGAAAACGATTATCGAGGAGGAAGCTTGACTATGTAGACGAGCTACAAGCGTGAGGCCAGGAGTTTGAGCTCTATAAGAGTTTGGGGAGATGGTCTGTCTACATAAGCTCGAAAAAACCCTCGAAGAAGGAGATGGACTCGGCGCGACTTGAAAGACTACTGGCGCTTGCGAGTGGAAAACGAGCAGTGGCTTTAGAGATTTCTGGCACGTTGGCATTTATTTTCGATTTCTACGACCTCTTGTTTGTACGTGAAGATCTTTATGAGATGTTGTCTCCGCTTTTTTCGAGGGACCACTTTGATCTTGCCGACAGAAAAAAAATGAAAGTAAACTTGGAGAGATTGGTTTCTTTCGTTCGCGATGGATCAATCGGCCGGCCGAGACACCGAGAAGCTAGCCTCATCCATTTGAACTGGAGATACGATCGCCCGTGTTGTCAAACGTTGTCTCCTTCTGTGCAAGTCGCCAAGAGCGTCCAAAGGACAATGTTGGTGTGTGTTGTTTGTGGTTAATCAGGCTTTGTCACTAATACATAAAATAATACGCTGTTTTACCTTTTGGAACGCCCCACCGGAAAAAAAAACGTGTTCGACATTCCCATCGCATGTAAAAGTGCGTTACTATTCACGCAAGGTGAAAAGTGAACTAGAGTGGTGTAGTGGTGGTGATTTAGGTGTCTTTATTTTCCATGTGTTGCTCATCCTCGTCGCCTTCTTCCCGTTTGATCCGATCCACGGGACGATCGATCGGTTGCTTGTCCTCTGGCGTATTTCGGAGCCACGGCGCATCGAATGCCGGGGCGGCGCCTCCTTTTTGCGTGATCGATTCGTCTTCCTTGGAATGCGGTGGGGCGATAGGGTCTGATCGTCAGGAAGAGGGATTTTCGCGAGATTTTGAGAGGCAGAGAGGGGGATCGATCACACCATGAAGCTATCGCGGCAGCATCGAAGCGTTTGGAACAGCCGATGGCTGGTTCTTGTGGCGTCGATCTGGATCCAGGCGTGCGCGGGGGTGGGATACGTCTATGGCAGCTACTCGCCATTGATCAAGAGCAGGCTACATTTCAACCAGAAGCAGATGAACATCCTGGGCGTGGCCAAGGACATGGGCGACAGCGTGGGGATTTTTGCGGGCTCCCTCTCGGATGTGATCCCTCCCTGGGGTCTCGTGTTCTTGGGGAGCTTGCAGAATTTCGTCGGTTATGGAGGCATTTGGCTCATCGTGACGAACCCGGCGCTTCCATCTTTCTTCTGGCTGGTACGTATACGTACGCATCGACCTGGCTGGATTTGGATGGATTTGTTTGCTTGCCATAGGAGGGAGTTACTGTTGATCGTTTTGTCTTGGCTTCCAGGATCCATCGACAGTTTCGAGGTTTTTTTAATTGGTTCTTCGTTCTCTTTTTTTTGTGAAACGTTTGCATGGCTGACGATTGTCTCGTAGTTCATATAGGCGTTTTGGTTGCTAGCGAGATCGTTTTAACGCTTAGACAATTCTATCTTTGTTTTGGTTTGTAGATGTGCGTGCTCATGTTCGTTGGTACCAATGGAGAGACTTATTTCAACACGGTTGCTCTAGTCTCGTCGGTGCGCAACTTTCCCAGGAACCGGGGTCCAGTCGTCGGGATTCTTAAAGGATTCACGGGTCTCTGCGGAGCCATCTTCACGTTGGTGTATGGAGCTCTACTCTCTCCGAATCAAGCCGCATTTATCCTGCTCGTTGCCGTTGCTCCGGTCTTTGTTGGACTGCTCGTGATGCCGATCATACGTCCAATCGAGACCGAAGCACCCGTCACTTGCGAAGAGAAGGATAAGGAGGAAGCCGTCAACCTGGGGTTTATCTACAACCTCTGCTTGATCATGGCTGGGTACTTGTTGGTGGTGCTGCTGGTTCAAGACCTCCTGGACGTTAGCAAGCTGGTGACGGGGATATTTGCTCTTGGCATGTTTATCTTGATAGTGCTACCACTGGCGATACCTTTGAAGCTGGAAACGCAGCAGCTTCAAGAAGCGAAGTTGACGGAGCCTCTGGTTCAAGCAGAGGCCGGTGCTGGCTCAAGTCAAGCAACCGATGCTCCAGTCTATGATCCATACTTCAGCGAGCTCGAGGACGAGAAGCGCGCTGCGAGAGCTCTTCCGGAACGCGTGGTTCATGCCAAGCTTCAGAGAATGCAGTCCAACTTGTACCGAGCCGTAGCGGAGGGAGCTATCAAGGTGAAGAGAAGAAAAGGTCCTCGCCGTGGTGAGGACTTCACACTAAGGCAAGCTCTCGTGAAGGCTGATTTCCTACTCATGTTCTTCGCCCTCTTTTGTGGAGCTGGCTCGGGCGTCACGGCCATTGACAACCTTGGACAAATGGGACAGGCACAGGGTTATCCAAATGCTCACATCTTCGTGTCCATGATGAGCATATGGAACTTTTTGGGACGCGTTGGCGGTGGATTCGTCTCCGAGTGGGTTGTCAGGTACAGGAAAACACTTTCTTTGAGTTTGTGTATTATAACACTAATGTTTTCTTACGTGTTTTAGAGATTATGCATATCCTCGGCCCTTGGTACTCGCTGGTGCTCAACTGGTCATGGCAGTCGGACACTTTTTTTATGCGATGGCTTGGCCTGCCTCGTTGTACATTGGCTCGCTACTGGTTGGCCTGGGTTACGGTGCGCACTGGGCCATTGCGCCTTCTACCGTCTCGGAGCTTTTCGGCCTGAAAAACTTTGGAAGCCTCTACAACTTCCTCACGGTAGCGAATCCTCTTGCGTCGCTGCTCTTCTCCGGGGTGATCGCCGGCAGCATCTACGACAGTGAAGCCGAGAAGCAATTCGGAATGCGACACAGGGACCATCACCACCACGGCGGCCAGAACAACGGGCTGCATTGCAAGGGGGCCGTGTGCTTCAGGATGACGTTCTTGATACTCATGGGAGTTTGCATACTCGGCTCCGGGCTGTGCATGCTCCTGGTGAGGAGAACGATGCGAGTCTATGCCGGTTTATATGGAAAGCAGCTGCCGCAACAGCAACAGAGCGACCAGCTAGGATCGATTGCGGAGGAAACTGAGACGAGGCTTAAGTAGCGACTTGTTGTTTTGTAATTTGCGTGTGCGAGCTTCGCGGTCTATATGGTCGTGGAAGCCTTCCCAGTGTACCAAAGAGAGTTCGTTTAATCAGGAAAAGCTTCAATGCTCGTTTAATTAATCCATCTTTTAGAAGGCCAAGAATTCATGCTTGTTTGAAGACTTCGTTTGAGCGCAAGAGTTCAATGACTCCAAGTAAGCTAACTGGTCCCTTTTGCGCACAAACTTGACTTTTTGTTTTTTCAGGACCAAGATTCTGAAATGTCTGTGGCTTAAGTCCAAATCTGCATCTTGCCGCGCAGAACAAACACATCACGTAAGTTGCTCCATGCCAAGAATGCTTCTCACTCTGTTCATTCGTAATCAGGACGCACGAATCAACATCAGGAAAGTTTATATAGAACACCTTGAGAGGGCTCCACCTCGGCCTGTTCAAATTGACGCAAGTGCACAGTACAGGTAAATTTCTGAAAGATTTGCAGCAAATCCGGACTCCCATCCCAACAGGTTGGCGGAGTCGAGCATCACGGGTCAAAGATGATTACTTATAGCGGACAACGACACACTTTCAGTATGGGGCATGGGTTGGCCACGTTCTTCACATCAGCACCACAGCAGCACGAAAAAGAAAGAAAAGAACTGCTTCCAGGTACCATTTTTTTCTTCCCTGCATTTTCATTGCTGGTTTCTTCTGTTTATGTTGAATTGTGGATCTTGCTGAGCCTCACAGCCACCCCTGCCTTATCTCGTCTGCTCCCTACCACTTGCCTTCTTCCTTGTCTGCTTTCTTCTTCTTCGTTTCTCTTTATCGATCTTGTTTTTTTTTTTTTTTTGTAATTTTTTCTCTCTTGTCTTGTTTTCTTTTGTTCTTTTTTTCAAAGGTCTCTCATGTGGCAAAAAGGTTTTCTGTCATAGGAGCATCGCCAGGCAGTTTCTAAGTGTCGGGATGCTCTCGTTGGTTTTTATGGTACAGACCCAAGTTGCATATTCATAATCGCGTCGTGTCTGAACCTTTTTGTTTTTCTTCTAACATGAAAGATGACCAGTGAGCAGCAGCTCGAAATCCGCAAGAAGTGCTCGTAGCGGGAAGCTCTGACATTGAGAACAGGGCAAGGAGGGGCGAAAAGGATGAAGAGAATTGCAGTCATTGGAGCTGGTGTTTCCGGGCTTGTAGCGGCCTACACTCTGTGCAAAGCCGGATGTCATGAGGTTGTCCTCTACGAAAAGGAGAACTACTTTGGAGGTCACGCACGCACGGAGGATGCGAATGGGATTGCTGTGGACCTCGGCTTCATGGTTTTCAATCAAGTAAGAATCTCTCATTTGCATATGTGTGAGTGATGCGTTTGATGCACCAGGTGACTTATCCCAACATGGTTTCTCTGTTTGACGAACTGGGAGTGGACATGGAAACCTCCGACATGTCATTCTCTGTGAGCCTCGATGGGGGTAAAGGCTGCGAGTGGGGAAGCACCGGACTGGCAGCAGTCTTTGCACAGAAATCCAACCTTGTCAACCCGTACTTCCTGAGAATGATTCGGGAAATTGTCAAGTTCCAGGACGACGTTCTCAAGTAAGTTTCTCGCTTTTATCTACAATCGCGAGCTTGCAGCCGTTACTAAGCAGTTTTCCAGCTATCTAAATAAGCTGGAACAGGGGGACGACGCTGTTGATCCCAATCAGACTCTTGGCTCCTTCCTTCAACTTCATGGCTACTCTGAAAAATTCCGAGACTGCTATCTGGTACAATATTTACCATCGCTAAGGTCTTTGGCTTACTTGATGCCGTGTTTCAGATTCCCGTGTGTGCTTCAATTTGGTCTTGTTCTTCTGAGCAAGTCTTGGGCTTCTCTGCGGCCAGCATTCTCACCTTTTGCAGAAATCATCACCTCCTTCAGGTAGTTCAGGAGTGACGAACGAATAAAAAGTGGTGTGATCCATTGTCTTGTCAGATATTTGGAAGGCCCCAGTGGTTAACTGTCAAGGACCGATCAATTAAGTACGTGGAAAAGGTAAAAGTTTGCATTTTTTTTTTACCATCTTCTGATCTCATTAGTACAGTAGATTGTCGCAGAGCTAACGAAAATGGGCTGCGAATTGCGGTTGGGATGTGCTGTCTCCAGAATATCAAGCACCGAAGGAGGTAACAACATATTTACTTTTCTAACTTTTCAGCCAGAATAAGATGCAGGTGTCAAACTGATATTGGAGAGCGGAGAAAAAGTCGTGTACGACACTTGTCTGGTTGCCGCTCATGCTCCGGATGCTCTCACTTTGCTAGGAGAAACTGCAACTTTTGACGAGCGACGACTTCTTGGCGCATTTCAATACAGCTACAGGTACTTTCAAAGAAAACAAAATTCTATTGGGCCAGCTTTTATGCTTCTTCTGTTGCAGCGACATCTACCTGCATAGAGATCGAGCTTTAATGCCTAAAAGTACCGCTGCATGGAGTGCGTGGAATTTTTTAGGAAGCGTGCAAGGGCGTGTCTGCGTCACGTACTGGTTGAATCTTCTTCAGGTATGGGATTAGTATTCTGAAATGAATAAACACTTCCAACTCTTTTCCTTGCAGAACCTCGGTGATACAGAAGGCAAACCGTATTTAGTTACTCTCAATCCTCCAAGGCCTCCCAAGAATTTGATTTCCAAGTGGCGAACAGGACATCCCGTGCCATCTCCCGGTGCAGCCACGGCACTTAAGGAACTGGACACAATACAAGGCGCAAGAAAAATCTGGTTTGCAGGCGCTTATCAAGGTGAGAGACTTTGGTGATCAACAGAGCGGAGTTACCTGACAAAATGTGATTGTAAGTGCAGGCTATGGTTTTCACGAGGACGGACTAAAGGTTTGCTGCGTGTTTACTTTTTCTTGCTATTCATATTTTGAATGACGCAGGCAGGCATGGCTGCGGCTAATTCATTATTAGGAGCGAAGTACCAGGCTTTATCGAACGTAAAGCAGTTGAATTTTACGTGGTGCCAAAGTCAAGCAAGAAGAGAAGTGACAAAGTTTCTTCAGAAGTACATTGTTTTCGGCAAGCTTCAGTTGAGCTTCTTTGTTCTTTATTTCATCGGAAAGGTATGCTAACTGGATGTATACAGATTTATTGAAGCCGGTGGAACGATTCTAGACTTCGTCGGGAAGGATTGCGACTTGACAAGCAAGTTGAGGATTCACCATCCAGATTTTTACTGGAAGGTAAGCATTGTTTCGTGGTTTCTTTTATTTTTCTTAACTAGATTGCGTTTTCTTAGATCGCAACGAGATCTGACTTAGGACTCGCAGAAGCTTACATGGATGGAGATTTTACATGCATAGATTCGCAAAATGGATTGCTCAACCTACTGCTCGTATAATTTTATTTTATTTTCTTCTGTGTCAAATTTTTTCTCGTGCAGATAATAATCAAGAATAGAGACTGGATGCTGAAATCTCTCAAGGATGAAAAGAGGTAACCTTTGTAAATTTACTTATGGGCATGTTACTAGCTTTATTGTGTTTCTCAGAGGCTGGTGGACTCCTCCTATTTTAACAGCAGCGTTTGGTTCCGCTGTCGCTTACCTTAAGCATAAGCTTCGAAACAACTCTATTGTGAATGCTCGGAAAAACATTTCCGAGCACTACGACTTGGTATGTTTGATTAGCTCGCGTCTAAATTTCGTTGTAACAACGGTCTTGTTTAGAGCAATGAGATGTTCAGTCTCTTCTTAGACGAGACTATGACATACTCTTGCGCTATATTCAAGGTAATAAGTTTATGTGTGTGTGTCCCACTGTAATCTAACTGTGAATATTATCAGGGACCGGAGGAGCCGCTTAAGGATGCGCAGCTGAGGAAGATCCACCATCTGATCGATAAGGTGCACATGTACCCCGATTCCCGTTTTTGTTTCTAAAGTACTTTGAACAGGCCAGGATCGATAACAGCCACGAAGTTCTTGAGATTGGCTTTGGATGGGGAAGCATGGCTGTAGAAGTTGTGCGTAGAACGGGATGCAAGTACACGGGAATAAGCTTGTCTGAAGAACAGCTTGCTTTTGCTAAGCAACTTGTTACGCAAGAACGCTTGGAGGTATACTTGTGTTGGTTTATCTCATTTTTCTTATGATCATCTGTCACAGGACAAGATCACGCTGAAGCTATGCGACTATCGTTGCCTTGAAGGATGCAAGAAATACAACAGGATCATTTCATGGTGAGATACCGCCTTATATAAACCACCTGATTTCTATTGTCTTAAACTCTTTCAGTGAAATGATGGAAGCAGTCGGGCCTGAATACTACGACGAGTTCTTCGCAAAGTGTGACTACTTGCTTGCTGAGGATGGTCTCGCTGTTATTCAGGTACTTCAAAAAGTTATATGATCATTGGAGCAAAACTCAATGGTTGCTGTCCATTAAGGTGATCACCGTCCCCGAAGAAAGATACGACGAGCTCAGGAGGAGCTCAGAGTTCATCAAAGAGTACATTTTCCCCGGCGGTTCTTTACCTTGCTTGGCAGCACTGACTGCAGCGATGTTCCGTGCATCTTCGCTATGGTAAGTAAGAAGTAAGAGGCTGGCTGGACGCATTCTCATGGGCTTTGGAATGCAGTGTGGAGCATCTGGAGAACATTGGCCTGCACTACTACCAGACTCTAATGTGCTGGCGAAGAAACTTCAACTCCAAAACAAGGCATGCTACTTGTTTCCGGCTCGATTACGTCTCAATCCCTTACTCTTCTCCTTTTGTCTTTGCAGTGAAATAGCCAAGCTCGGCTTTAGTGAGAGCTTCATGCGCAAATGGGACTACTACTTTATTTACTGCGCAGCAGGATTTCTGACGTGCACTCTAGGAAACTTACAGGTACGCAAACCCTTAGAAGTTGTTCTTTTCTTTTCTTTTTACTGACACGCAGCGCTACAAGATTGTTTTCTCCCGCTCTGGGAACGCGGCAGCGTTGGGAAACCCTTACAGGAGCTTCCCTACGGCATAGGTGACGAAAAAAAACAGAGAGACATCTTATAAAATATACCTTGTAATAAAAGCATATTCATAGGATATGCGAAGAAGGATATCCATTGGATTCCCATTTTGAAAGCCTAGGGCGTGAGCAAAATGGCGCGCGTCGATATTTCTCTCGGCTATGGCGCCCTCGACGGCCAGGTGCTAGGGTTTCTGGCCAGGGAGCTCATCGCCTTCGTCCTCTACATGCACCAGCAAATGCCGAGGTACAAGCAGTTTTCCTGTGTGATCTCATCATCATTTGATCGATCGCAGGACATTTGATCAGATGCAAATTGAGCTGCGAGGCATGGTGAGCTCACTCTTTCTTTGCAGAAGCCTTAGTACAGATGCAGGAAGGGAGTGTTCGTGACGAAACGACCCGCAAATCGCTCGGCAAGAACTTGCAAAGATTCGTCCGAAAGACAAAGAAGCTCCACAAGTTCTTGGATTGCGTCGAGAGGCTGATGGTGGCGGTAGAGAGCGCGATCAACAGCACTGCCCCAGGTGTTGTGGAGATTGTGCTTCTCATCGGATCCAACGTCGCGCGGCCACAGGTAGTTTACAGATTGAAGAACTTTGGAGAACTGTCGGATTCTTCGTCGTCGGCGGAGAAAACAAAGATCGATCTCAAGCAGCTCACGACAAAGGTACTACTTTTCTTCTTGTTTATTCTAAGAAATGGTCTCATCGCAGATGATTCGAGAGCTTCTGTCGAGTGGTATCACGGAGAAAGTCGCAGGTAGAGCTTTCGCAGTGACTTTTAAATCCATATTCTTGTTCTCATTCCTTTGGCAGGGCCGACGAAGCTATTTCTTCTTGTAAAAGCTTCCCCAGAGTTCATGCCAACACTGTCAGAGAACTTTCTTCCCAAAAGAGCATTTACGTGGAATTCCGCCAAGGTTCTTGCAAAAGTTTCCTCATGCCTTTGACAATTCTTTTTCCTTGTTTCTCGTGTAGGCATCTGAGATATCAATCGACTTCCTACGAGGAGAAAGCCTAGAAGAAGCTAACAGCGAGAAAATCTGGTACTGGAACTACTTTCGTAAAGTTCTTGTCCAAGCTTGCTGTAACTACAGGTTCCAATGCCGCCATTTTGTGAAAGGACAACCATCGTCCAAGGAGTTGTGCTGATCAGGCTCGACATATCAGCAACGTTCTCGATAAAAAATGTACATCCCTTTTCACCAATTTGCTAACTGGCTAGTGACATTCTTCTCTCTGTGATGATACTCGGTGGACAGTACTCGCTTAGAGCTCAGTGACGCAGGTTCTCCAAGCCAAGAGTCGTATAGAGATTTTACAATGGGGTTATCAAAGGGATCCTTCATCTCTACCTGCAATCCCAAACAGAGATTTGAGCAAAAGAATATAAAGCATGAAAAGGAAGTACCTCTTGCAAGTAAGCGCTCTCCAGATTTTGGATGAGCTCCTTGGCAGACTGTCCTTCCTTTGGTTTGATTTGTCCACCACCATTCAAGCACCCCGAAGGACATGCCATGATCTCTACGTACTGGTACTCGCATTTCTTTAGCCGGATCTTGCGTACGAGGTTCTGAATGTTTCGAAAGCCATATGCAAGAGCAAATTTCAATCGAACCTCTCCATCCACCTGGGAGCCTGAACGTTAGATCGAAGCGATTGAGGAATAAAGAAACGGCACAAACCTCCAGCTTGACTTCCCGAAAGTCGGCATTTCTGACAACTTGAAACTCCACGCGATCAGGCTCTGCTCCAAAGAGGTGCTTCGCGGCGTATTTAAACACACACTCGGCGTATCCTCCAGAGCCGCCGGGAACACCGTACAAATGGCCTTGTTCGTCTACATTTGTAAGACTGCACTACGAGACATGAGAGCTTTGTCGAGAAGAAGAAAAAAACGTAGTGAAATGGAACTTACAGTTTGTCCAGTGGCTGCTCCTCAAGTGACATGAAGTCAATATCTCTAGACTGTGAAGAGAAACAATTCAGTATGTTCATAAAAAGGACCTCTTATCAAAGACTCACTTGAAGAAGATCCAAAATTTCTCCCGAGGTTAGCACTGAATCAACTTCCGCAAGGCCAGAGGCCCCGTTCTCTAGAGCGAATATAAAGTCGTCCCGAGAAGCTTCCAGCTTCTTGTCATAACAAGGCATCACTGTAACATGATATACATCCTCCGGTCTAGAACAACGAAAAGAAAACCAAAAGTAAGATTACGAGATCTCCGGTCTCGAAAGCCACGAACCTGAGGCCCAAAGCATAACACGCATGCCGCTTTAACACAGCACCCATAGCCTGCTGTGGACTCTTTACTCTACTAATGTAAGGAAGAATTTCTGCATCAAGCGTTTTCTCTGCGTAGCAAATCCATCCTAGAAAACCGGGGCGCGATAAGCACACAAGTGTGACAAGCTTTGAACAGCCTACCTGGACACGCAGAAGTCACCACAGGAAGTTGTCTCTCTTTGTAGCGATTAACGAACTCCACACACGATTCGATGAGGGATAAATCTCTGCTGCAGCTGGTGTCAAAGACGGCTTTGACACCGAGAGATTTGAGAAAGCCTGTAAGTTTTCTGAAAACCTGTGACGCGTTACTAGGCTAGGAGAAATTCTCCGACTTGGACTTACTTGAAGTTGCGACAAGCCGTAGTAAGCTGCCAGTGATGCTCTCGACTGTGGAGATAGCGAGACGATCACACTCTTGCCGCTGTCCGAGAGACGATTTAGAAACTCTTCGATGCTTTGATGCTCCAGCATCACGGTCTCGGCCGACGTGATACAGCCACTGCGCAAAGAAAAACACATATGTAAAAACGAAAGCAAGAGCTTTGGATCCACACCTGCAAGCTAAGCAATCGTGAAGCGTCACTTTGACTGGCTTCTCCACGGCTACATTTTTCGTTTGATCGAAGCTGGAAGGAACTCGCGAGTGAATTTTGACGCTTCCACCGTCATCCTGTGCGAAACGAAAAATCCGTGAAATTCTAGTGGAATTTCTTATAGCACCATAGCTCACCTCGATCTTCTTGCTGTTGAGCGATACGACGCAAGCCTGCGATGGCGCGATGAAGTCGTTGAGATCCGCGAGCTTCAAGGCGGTGGAGAAGCCCATTGTGACTGATAAACCCTAAAAACAGAGAGAAGAAATAAGGGTTCTAAGCTAGGGAGAAGTTATTTGCCGGCAAAATGCTATCGGCTCCTACTACTGCTTGGAGGATCTGTGCTTGCCCTCTCCGACGATGCCGTGATCTTCGCCCGCGGCGGGAAAAATTGAGCTGGAGAATCTTGCGCGCTTCTAGGGATGGGAATGTGGGCAGTGTTCCATTTCCATCGGATTACATTGAGATGGTCAAACAGGTATCTCTTGGAAATCTTTTGTTCTAGGCCGGGAGAGAGATTTTCTCATGAGTTGTTTACTTGAAAGGCACAAGACGCTTGTCAGGCTGCTCTTGACGACTCCAAGAAACTTCTGGTATGGAATTCTTCTCTTTGCTCTTTTCTTTGATGTTCTTCCTAGGAAGTTGAAGTTCCACCGGCTGGACTCAACACCGTTTCAGGTGATTGATCTGAAACTCGCTAGTTTCTGTGACAAGTGTAAGAATCTTTTGTTCTCTTTTCGATTTCTTCTGCTCTATTCATGTGGGACTTTCTTACAGGAGACGAAGAGGGTGGTATTGAGATGAACATAAGCATGGAAATTGTCCAGAAATTCTGTGCTGGGATGTTCACCGGGGAGAAGGCTCCACGGACTCGAGTGGTGAGTTTCACGTAGCAAGGAAGAAAGAAGATGAAACTTGGATTTGATGTGTAGTTTTTTCCGGAGCTGGCCGAGATGAACATAGCCAAGAGCGGCGTGTTTGATGGAAGCATGTATAAGCTGGACTACTTGACGAAACCATCGCCGTGGGATGATATTGGACTCGGCAAGAAGGTGAAAATGTCCGAGCGCACAAGACCAACAGATGCAACGTTTGTTGTGGCGTATCCATTCTTCAACCCCAATGGTCTGATGATTTTTTTAATAATTTTTTTGCTTATACTTTTCTCTATTCTTCTCTATTCTTTGTTTTCTAGAAATGCTTGCGGTTGAAGAGCTCTACAGAGAGTCTGCGAAGGAAAGTGGATGCCCGATAATAGTTATCAACGGAGATCTGGACAAGATCCGAAACGGGTGTATCCTTAAAGACCTTTCAATATTTTGGTTTGCCTTAGCGAGCTTTTTTCTCAGATTATCCGCCGTTTTTCTATCCGAAACTAGGGGCTCTCGCCAAGACTTTCCTTCCGGACTTCGAGACTGTTTATTACATACACAACTTCAAGGGACGATTTGCAGGGACGCTATTCAGGTAAGTGTCACTGCTTAGGATTTCTATGTTTTGTGTTGGTAACTTGTGATTCTGACGAGTTTTTTTGCAGAGCTTATCCCGGGCCTTGGCAAGTTCTCAGATCCGTAGAGGGAGAAATGGTTTGCATTCACTCACAGGAAACCATGCCTTCTCTGAAAACAGTCGCGCTTGAGATACTGCCGTTCCAATATGGAGTATCCGAACGTGTGTGACAGATGTGTATATTGACGAGAGGGCGATTTGATAGCTTCCCTTTCGTGCTATGGAAGGCCTTTACAAGGAAATTATCAGCATTGGCCTCGAAGCCGTGCAAGATCTTCCCGCTGGGAACAAAAATGCTGACGATTCGCCCTGAGAATTCGGGAAAGCCCTCGTACTAAGCATCATGAGGTGAGGTTTTTCTTTAGAGTGTATCGGGGCTGTGTTCTTAGTGGCGTTGTCTTCCAGGCACGATGAATACAAGCAAGCGAGAACTACTCCGACCCGAAGTTTTTGAAAGCTAAGGTTCAACACTGTTAAACAATTCGAAGAAGAGATCACGAAAAAACAAAGAGAAATAATCGGTCTGCAAACATTTGATCCAATTCACAGTCTCCAGTGATGATGTAGTTGATAATTTCAATCCACTAGTGCGACACGTTTCGTTTGCTCCAGGTAAGATGGCCTGAATTTAGGCCTTAAACGTTGGATAGTTATTTTAATGAAATGACATTGCTATGGCCGTGCTAATCCACTTCCATTGCCGACGATTCCAGTAGCATCGCCCAGATGCCCGTCTTGTCGCCAATGCCGCGTCCTCGTCCAAGCGCAAGAGGGACTTCTCGGTGGAGCTTTGGAGGCCACCGCGGCCGCTCCCATCGCTATGACATCCATGATGAGCTCCTACAACACAATTGCGATTCTCGAGGTGGCCAGAGATTCGCCCGGTGAATTTGAGGGACCTAGATTGCTGCTGCTGGATCAAACAGGTAAACAATCTCAGCTCATTTGGTTCTTGAGAGCTTTACGACCCAATGTAGGAAATGTGGATTCTGTGTGGGTCGGTTCATACTGGGTATATAACTTCCTGTCTTGAGGAGTGAAAAGAAAGTTTATATTCTTTGTTTGATTGAAGGACGAGTTCTCCTCGCTTCCACCGATCATTCCCAGTAGTAAGAGCTGTTGATTTTCTTCCTAGCTCTCCCGGTTAGCTTCCTAGAGTTCCTTGTTATTTGGTCATCAGGGAGGTGGTACTGCAGCTCGATTGCTGCTCCACTTCTGGCCGGAGCGAGAATTGAGAGAATCGTGAGTAACTCTTGGACTTCTCTGTAGTAAAAGCTCAATGTTGGAAACAGAAATCTGACAAGCGAGATAAATCCCTTGCCTTGTCAATTAGCTGCGAGCTTCAACATACATCCTTTGCCCATCCATTGTCGCTCCCATCTTTTCACCGTCGCGGTCACTGCCCAGAAGAGAAGGCACAAACAAACACGGTGGACAATTCACATCGCTCTCGGGTACAAATGATCCTGAGGATCGGTGCAATCTGTCCCTTTCATCTTTCAACCTCACTTTTCTACAGGAATTGTCGCTCAAATGGCGATGTTCTGACAGTTCAGGGAGGTGAGAAAATAGTTTTAGTCTTGATCTATTTCTGATTCTCCCTTAACGGGCTGTGGCTTGCCCATTAACTTGATCCAATTGTTGGCAGCCGTCAGATCGAGTCAGGTTCTCTACGAGAACGTGGCTGACAACTGCTAGGTTCTTCAGAACCCAGCTGCCAGCTGCCAGGTTCTAGAGAACCCTTTCATCCTCCAATAACATTATTCCATGTGTCTGTTAATGGTCTCGCCACAGCTTGTTAAGGCCGTTCCCGGGCACGGGCTCGCTCATTCCCTCCAGAATGTGCTTGCCCTACCCGGGAACTGCATCTTCCAGGCAGAGACATGGTTTAAAGACTGCGACCCAGGGGCCGGATCAGACAACTGTGTGGAAGAACAAAGACATGAGTCCCCAATTAATGGCGAGAACCACGTCCTTTATACAAGAGGAAAGACTTTGTTTCTCCATTTGCTAATATTTGAAGCACTTACGAGTTAACTGGTGGAAGCTTGATCAAGTGGAGAGATTGCGAAAAGGGACACTGCAGTCGAAGCCTTTCATCTAGTGAGCTCCTTGTCTCTACTCTTTTCACTTTTTCATTGTCCATCCATCTCTTTGTTTCTTGTAGGCTGCTGAACCTTTAGTCAAGGATTCTATATATTTGGAACTTGGGGCCCCAAAACTTAGTACACATGATGATGGCTCTCAAGTGCAAAGCTGGTGTTGAAGCGTGCATCATGAACAAGGTGTAGCGGTGTAGGAGTAAGATTAGGAAAGCCATGGGAGAAATGGGCCATTACCATTTGTACTTGTGAGCAAGGACTTGATGAAATAAAAGCATCATCTCCTTGGAATGTATTCATTGATATCCTTCGATAAAGAATCGCTCTTGGCAGGGTACGGCATCTACTTCCTGTCTGGAGAGGAGTCCCACAAAGGGATGGGCATGGCGGTACAAGTCCCACAGGAGAACAGCTGGTGCAAAACGGGAGCCCTATCGTCGACAATCTCCACTCAACATGGAGCTTCTTGCGATACATGATTGCATCTCGGCCGTATAGTTGTACAAGGCTCAAGGTTATTGGTAGTCCAATAAGCTGAATATCTACACGTACAGTTTACAATTGCTTACCCTATTGCAATTTGTCCAATGCAGGCTTGACCACCTTGACTGGGCGAGATATTATTCTCATATACCTTAAAGCTAGCATAGTTCATAATTGAATCACTTTTTAAGGACAAGTTAAAGCTCAACCTCTACTAAGTAATCTCATCTAAAACACAACTAACTCAACTTGCCACTCAGTTTATTTGAACGCCAATACAATTGCTAATTAACAATTGTACAAATGTTAATAACAAAAAGCTACAACCAAATTATCAACAGTATCTTTATCAAGACCAATGAAAGTCAATATCAATCATATGGAAAGACATCTCATTTCACTCGAATTTCAATAGCAATAGTGTCAACGACAAGGCACCCTTTTAATGCCATCAACATCACAAAGCTAGTAAAAAGCAAGAGTGAATTACCACTCAAAACTCTTTAACAACTAAGTTAGCTAAAGTTGAAGATACTTTAGTTAGTATTTGAGATTAATCCTTCAACAATATTCAGTTTCAAATAACATATTATCAAGGAGTGATTCACCACATCTAAGATTCCATGAAATCCAACACCATGGACTAAACACAACCAAAGGATATCGACAGAGGTAGAGTTGACATGCTAACATGGAAAACCTTTGTAAGTCTAACAACACGATCGTCTACAACACCAATCAGTAAAACAAGCCTATCACTACAAAATCATTATCAAGCAAAGCAAGTGTTAATAGTCTTTGACGAAGTTTACAAGTAATCACTAGTCACAAAGCAACTAACAATCATTCTTCAACTTGCCTTCACAAGACCCAAACACTAAACTCTCATCATTGAGTCATACACTTGTCCAACATAAATGTAATACCTTAGATACAAAATAAAGGTTCATAGACAAACATGATCTAAATGACCACTCGAATCTAGCTCAACCATAATAAGCTCACCAACACATCTAGTCAATATCTCTGAGCATGCCTTGAAGAGGCTATCTATGCATGATCAACACTCAGTCGAAACTAAAGTGAAGATCATGAGATGGACTCATATTGGTACATAACCTCCTCATAAACAAAGCTATAGTATGGGTACCAACATCTTAACTTCAAATAACTAAGTTGGACATCATTATTCTCAGCCAAAGTACAAGACTACCAAGACCAAGTCAAGATCAATGAGAGCTCACTACTCTCATAGAGTGTAACAAAATGCAAAATGCAACCTACCACCAAGCACAATGCTATGAAAGAAAGGTGTAAGGGTCACCTTTCTAGAAAAGTGCAATAGACACTCTTCTACACCAATTCTAAACTTTATCTAACTCAATTGCCTTAACCCCAAAGGTTAGCGTCTTTTTCGGTTTACATCATACAAACTACCTACTAAGGTTTAAGCTAACCGAAGTCAACTTCAACCCCTTCACTAACTTGTACTCGCTTATGAAAACAAAATGGTTTTTGAGCAAAGTGATCAACAGATTAGTCATTGGAAAAGTTTAATAAAATTTGTGAAAATTTTCCATCCTAGAGAAAGAATGACTCTTAGTCTAACAATGCAAACTTTCAAGACTCAACCAACTTCTTCCTATTAACAACTTCACAAAGGTTTACCTTAACACAAATTTTTATGACCCAACAGTATGTCTAAACATCGAACATTTTTGCTCATTTTCTGACATCCAACACTGACATTCGCAAAATGCAAAATGAACATCCAAGGCTTGATCACAAAGACCATATCTTCAAATATCCATATTGCACTAACACTCTTTTTCAACCATTTTCAAAATCCAATGTGAAGCCAAAACACTTGTCAGGAATCCCCCAATTCTTGCCACATTCCTGACTCTCGCCGGATTCCTGACCTGCAGACCACATTCCTGACTCTCGAGACACTTCTCTATTCCTGACTCTCGAGACACTTCCCTATTCCTGACTCTCGAGACACTTCCCGATTCCTGAGTCTCGAGCCACATTCCTGATGATGATGTGGCACCTCCTCGACCTCAGCTGTATTTAGGCTGTCCTCGATCCAAGAGTGGTGGAGCTTCATCAACCTATAGTATATATAGGTTAGCCTTGTTCCATTTCTCCACAATCTGAATCAACACCAGTCTAAGGCCTCTTCTTTGTTTTCACTAGCTTTTTCTCTTTGTCTTTAGCATTTTCCAGTCTTGATCTTGTTGGGGGTCTTGACAGTTTGATTCAGATTGTGTTTTTTGCTTTTTTTTTAGCTTGTTTTGATTATTTGATTGCCTTTGTCTTTTCCCCCCTTTCTTTTCTTTCTTCTTGCCAATGGAGTCTCCAAGCCATCCTGATTTCTTTGCCGAAGTCCTTGCAAAAATCCAGTCTGAGAATACCGAGCTGAAGGCGACCCTTCTTCGCATGCAGCAGGAGCTTGCTTCACTTTCGGCTCAAGGATCCAGCAAAGTTCCTGAACCGAAGGTGAGTTTCCCGGCGAAATTTTCAGGCAAGCGTTCGGAGCTTCGTGGATTTTTGAATCAAATGGAGCTGATCTTTGCACTTCAACATCGGCGGTACCCCACTCCCGAGTCTCAAATCGGCGCGATTGGGACGTTGCTCGAGGGTGCAGCTTTGTCATGGTTTTCTCCTCTTCTGGAGAAGAGCATGAAAGGGGTCGTGGTTCCGGAG